TTCATTCACTCATTCATTCATTTGGATTCCATACCCAGTACTCTTTCTACCATTTCATACTTTGTGTGTGTATGTATGTATATATGTATCTATATATCTATATTTATATTTTTATTGAAATAGCAAATCACTCTAGGATCTTTGCAAAGAAAACCTCAAATGAGATTACAAAGAGTCAGACGTGACTGAAATGACTGACCATCAAAAATATATTTTCTATTTATTTGTCTGTGTGCACGGTGTACCCTCTACAAAAGAACATGATCTCTTTAGGGCAGGTATTATTTTGTTCTCCATTTTTGTGTTTCTAGTGTCTAGCATAGTGCCTAGTTCATTGCAAGTAGTTAATAAGTACATCTTGAATTTAACTGACAGCCAGGAAATAGTCCCCTGTCCACCTGAAGTAATAGAAGCTAAGATGCTGACCCTGCAGACATTCCTCATGGTAGAGCCCCTTAACTGTGTTCTCCTTCTTCCCTCCACCCACCTGCCTGCAGAAAATCCCTCCCCAGCTCTCAAAATTGGTCTTACAAATCACACATCATTGAAGACTACTTGTAAGTCATCTTTTGCTGTTGTGTGAAAAGTAAATGCTAGTGTACAAGCCAGTCAATACAACGGACCACTCAATAATGCAGAATATTCTGCATTTTGGCCCAGCAGGTTAATGCTATTGTTGAAACAAAGGCCACTCTGGCAAGTTCTGACCTTGGTGGCCTGATCAGCAGAAGCAGGCGAATGCCAAATGCTAAGAGGGAAGCGATCGATTAGGTCTGGTGGGAGGAAGGACGAACAGTGAGCTGTAAACATTTATTAATGGCCAGGGAGGGGACAGAGATTGGGCTTTCTGGCAGAAGATGAAGGGCGAAAAATCAAAGTTAGAGAATCACAGAATTTAGAGAAAAGACCTGTGACATCATCTCTACCAGTCTCCCAACCAGTGCAGAAACCTTGTCTAAGGCAGCCCGGGGATTGTGGAAAGTGGACATGACTGGTAGTGATGCTATATGGCTTTTAGTTTCAGGCCAAGCCTGAAGTAGGAATTTTGGTGTCCAGGGTAAGTTCAGTTGAGGAGAGGAGGATCAAAGCAGAAGATCATCTGGTCTGGTCTGGTGTAGGCTTGCCAGGAGATAGGAGGCTCATTTCTCAGATAATCTGTCCCTGTTCATTTATTCCGTGGGAAGGTATAGATTGAGGGGAGAGAGGACAGGTAGGGAAATGACATGGGGATAGCAAATTACAGGATCGGTCCAGGGGAGAAGTATCATCCTTTAGATTTCCCATCCCCCTGAGGAAAGGCCCTGTCCACCCTACCAGAGTTATAACTCTCAGCCCAACTCTGCCGCTGTGTTACCATGGACAAGTCACCCTCCTCTCTTAAAGGTAATTATTCCCCCCCTCATTCCTTAGATGTGTGACTCCGGACAAGTTAATTAATCTCCTTTAGTCTCAGTTGCAGTTAGGTGGCACAGTGAATGGAATGCTGGGCTTGGAATCAGGAAGACTCCTCTTCCTGAGTTCAAATCTGGCCTCAGACACACTGCATGACCCTAGGCGAGTCATTGAACCCTGTTTGCCTCAGTTTCCTCATCTATAAAATGAGCTGGAGAAGGAAATGGCAAACCATCCAGTATCTTTGCCAAGAAAACATAAAATCTGACCTCAGACACTTACTGGGTATGTGACTCTGGGCAAGTCGCTTAACACTGCCTCAGTTTCCTCATCTGTAAAATGAGTCAGAGAAGGAAATGGCAAACCACTCCAGCATCTCTGCCAAGAAAACCCCCAATGGGATCGTGAAGAGTCAGATTCATCTGAAAAACAACCTAACAAGAAGAAGAAGCCTCAGTTCCTTACCTGTAAAATGAGGATAATTATAGCACCTACCTCCCAAGGTTCTTGTGAAGCTCTGGGAGGTAAATGCTATTACAATTGCCATTTAACAGATGGGGGAACTGAGACACATAAAAATTAAAAAACTTGCCCATGGTCATATAGCTAGTCAATGTCAGAGATAAAATTTGAGTTGAGGTCTTCTATATTCATATTAGGACAGCTAGATGGTGCACTAGCTAGAGCACCAGCCCTGGAGACAGGAAGACCTGCGTTCAAATTTGGCCTCTTACACTTACTAGCTGGGTGACCCTGGGAAGGACATTTAACTCTGCTTGCCTCAGTTTCCTCATCTGTAAAATGAGCTGGAGAAGGAAATGGCAAACCACTCCAATATCTTTGCCAAGAGAACCCCAAATGGGGTCACAAAGAGCCAGATATGACTCAACATCAACAACTTCCATATTCTTAAGTCTAGTATTCTACCCGAAACACAGTGTTGCCTCCCTACCAACCCCAGGGTCCTTTGGCTTTAAAACACCCTGATCACCTAGACAGTAGTTCCTAAAGGGAAGAGAGGATACATGCAGTGTGTGTAGGTCATTCACATTCTTAATAGATGGACACATTTCCAACAATGTACACAGATCCTTCCTCTTTGCACAGTTAATACAAGAGACAATAAATATAGATTTTAATCACAGTAGAAGCTGATGTTTATGTATCAGTTTAAGGTTTGAAAAGGATTTTTACATGTATTATTTCCTTCAAGTCTCACAGCAAACCTGTGAGGTGTATTTTACCTACCCACTTTTCAGATGAGTACACTAAGGCTTAGAACAGTTAAGCGACTTGCCCATGATTTCAAAACTAATAAGAATTGGAGGAGGAAAGGAAGATTCAAATCCAGGTCCAGTTTTCTCTAGATTCTTTTCAACCCCAAGGCATTCAACATCTATTCAGATAACTCTGATCATTAATTCCCTGGATGCTACATGGGGAGATCAAGGTACACCATTTTCCTGTGACCTTGGGTAAGTCACTTTTCTTGGTTTCAGTTGCCACATTAATAGGCTAGGAAGACCAGTGATTTTGTTGCTAAGAATGCATAACAAAGGAAGGATCAGGAGCTTAGAGCAGGAGCTGGAAGGGCACTGATTTGGCACAGCTAGATGGTGCAGTGGGTAGAGAGCCAGACCTGGAGTCAGGAAGGCCTGAATTCAGATTTAGCCTCAGATACTTACTGTGTGACCCTGAGCAAGTCACTTAACCCTGCTTGTCTCAGTTTCTTCATCTGTAAAATGAGTTGGAGAAAGAAATAGAAAACTACTCCAATACCTTTATCAAGAAAACCCCAAAAGGATTTATGAAAAGTCAGACAGTACTGGAAAAATGATTAAATAGCAACTCATTTTGCAAAGGAGAATCTAAGGCCCTGGGGAGTTAAGGGATCTATCTTCCCAAGGTCACATAGCTAGTTTCAGAGGCTGACATGTGGATCGAAGGACCTAAGGACATGGTCATCAGCTGATCAGACAAAGCAAGTAGCCCACTGACATCATCAGCTTCAGAGGCATAAGTTACCCTTGCCATATGTGCTACACTCCTTCCCTACATGTACTTCTTCAAACACAGCCCTCCAAGTGTGTTCACCTTTCTGTGCCTGGTCACTAAGCAAATCACCCTGAGGCAAGATGAACAAGGCCAAATGGAACAAAGGGAGCTGGGGAGGTCCGTCCTGGTTCTTTTGTTCTGCATTCCACCTGGTTATACATCAGCACTACCAGCAAATGGCTATTCTTCCCCCTTGTAAAATGAGGGGGTTGATCCAGGTGGCCACTCCAACTTCCAACTCTAGATTCATATATGCTATGCTTTATGCCAATGCTGACTAATGTCTGCTCAGCTCCTCTCCCCTCCTGTTTCCACCTCAACCAAGAAGATAAACAAATTCATTTGAGCAGGTGAATAACAATTAATATAAATAGCTCAGAATCTTCCTGGGATCCATATATGATCTTATTTATTATTTTCCTTATCATTATATATTATCATTTTATTCATTATTTACTTATTTTTATTTTATCATTATCTATACATTAGTATTTACTTTAAAATGTTACTCTTATTATTATTATTATTATTATTAGATTATATTTACATTATGAAAATATTTGTGAAGCACTTAGCATAGTCCCTGGCACACCATAGGTGCTTAATAAATGTATATTCCCTTTCTCTTTCCTCTTTCACCTTTTCATTATTGTTGTCTTTAGAAACCAACACATTAATAAAAGAAATTAGAAAATTCTCACTGGGGCTCCTGATTGCTACTTAATTACTGAAAGTCAGGAAAGAGGTCCCTGGTCTTATTTCTCATTACACTCCATATATCTAAACATCCAAAAAGTTATCTGGGATTGGAGCCAAATAGAGTTCCCTGGAATGAGCAAACAGAGACAGTGACATGGGTCTCATTATCTGACTCTTGTCAGGTTAAGGGAAACATTTCAGCCTATGCTGAATATCTTAACATCACTGATGCAGCCATTAACTCAGTGAGGATAGACTGAAGGCTGGCACAGGTTGATTCATCGCTGACCCCATACAGATTCCACTCCATCAGTCTGGGGGGGGGTGTGGGCCAATGTTTTACCGATCGGGTTCACTGCTCTCTTTTTGTTGTCCCTGTTAGAGAATCGTCAGGGTAGCCTTACAAATGAGGAGCCTTGAAGCAGGTGGTCTTGCTTTCTCTTATGCATCCGTAACCTCTCCTGGGCATAGAGAATCAGCACCAGGTGACAAGGCATGAGGGCAGTGGGGCAGGTGTCGCCACAGGATAAGCCCAGGGAAAGCTCACCTTACTGGTTTAGGTGGTAGCTGAGGCAGTCTCCTTGTACAGTTCTCCTGTGAGCACACTCTGGGATCTAGCCAAGTTGGCTATGGCAGAGGTTTCTCTTCCCTCCCTCATCCCACAACTCCTCTCTTCCCCACCTCCAGATGGTTTGTCTGAGCAATGTACTAGAAGATTCTTATTCAATTTCAGGAAAACTGAACTGATCAATTAGAAACAAATCTGAGATTTTATCTAGTTTCCTCAGCCTAACCTATCTGAATATGCCCTGCCTGCTCCTCATCTCCTCATTGAATCCCTCTCTTTCTTCTAGGTACAGGTCTAGTACCACCCTATATACGACATCCTTCCTGTTCTCCCCAAACCAGCTTGTGTATCAGAAGAATGGCTGATGAGAGGCTCTTCCTCAGTGAAAATACAGTATATTTTGCTGCCGGATCACATAGGGAGGCTTTGTGAGTTACATTCTGGTAGTGCCTGATGACACGTAATGAAAAGCCTGATTCTCCACTTCAGGACTTGTGTGCTCAGTTTTCCTGTCTGCTAAGTACATGGCAAACAAAAGAATTTTTTACTGGTTGCTGAGCTGGAACTTTTTCTGTTAGAGGCAACTGGGCCCTTTTTTCCTTCTCTGGCATTCAGTGAGGCGGATGAACCACTGTGAGCATCCAGGTGGAGGAGGGGCATTGGGCCCTTTCTCAGAGAAGCCATGCACTTGTGGGCATGCGGGGAAGGAGTGCCAGCATGGGCAGTCTGCTCTTTCCACCCAGGTTTATCTAAATTCATGAACACATACCTCTGCTTTTGCTTCTTTGAATCCTGCCTTAAGTGAAGCAATAGTGGAGATGGAGAGGATTAGGCTACGCATGATCTTGTGAGCTTCTAAAGTCCACCAGAGGTCTGGAAGCAAGACTCCAGGCCAGAGTTTTCAGCCATCTGAGCCTGGTCCACCAGGGCATTCAGGAAGGCCTGGGACACAGCCTGGAACACAGCCTGGTAATGGATTGATGCTACAGCCATGATGCTGGATGCTATAAGAGGGAGGGAATCATCCGTCCATTATGTTGCATTCAGCAGTGAACTTGGTGGGGCAGGTACTTTGTAGCAACTTTTTAAAAACTTAGGTCTATTCCTAAGGACTAAGATTGTAAAGGGAAGAATGTTAGGGGGAAATGTTTATACTCGTGTTCTTGAAATATCTTCTCAGTAAATATCCCTCTGGAATTGCTCTTGGTAGTCAATTGTGTCCAACTCTTCATGATCCCATTTGGGGTTTTCTTGGCAGGGACACTGGAGCGGTTTGTCACTTCCTTTTCCAGCTCATTTAACAGATGAGGAAACCGAGGCAAAGAGAATTAAGGGACTTGCCCAGGGTCACATAGCTGGTAAGTGTCTGAGGCCATATTTGAACTTAGATCTCCTTGACTCCAGGCCCGGTATTTCAGCCACTGCACCACCTAGCTGACTGTTAATTGATTAAAAGAAACTAGGGCACCAATCACCAGTGATTGTTATGGGAAACAAGGCACTGGAATGGAGGCTGAAACTGATAGCATTAGAGAAGGGTCACTCCAACACCTGAGGGGTACTCCTTAAACCCTGAGGAGGAGATGCAGCTTTTTGTTCTGGGTGAATTGACCCTCCGTGTGAGTAAGAGTTGGAGTAAAGATGCCCATCATCATATGGGCTACATTCACATTTATATACCTGACATTTAAAGTAGCATGGCAGATAAAGCATTGGACCTGATGTCAGGAAGAGCTGAGGTCAAATCCAGCCTCAGACACATAGGTGACCCTGGGCAAGTCACTTAACCTCCATCTGCTTCAGTTTCCTCAACTATAAGGTGGGAATAATGATAGCATCTAATTCCCAGAGTTTTTGTGAGGATCAAATACAACGTATGTAAAGCATTTTGTAAACCTAACTACATTTATTTTCTTTATAATTATATATGTACTTGATGTCTCCCATGTTAGAATATAAGCTCTTTGAGGTAAGAGATTGTTTGATCACCGCAGTCTTTGTATCTTTATTGCACAGCACAGTTCCTAATACATAGCAGGTACCTAATAAATGCTAATTGATTGACTTATGTTGTATATACTAATTAATGTACACATTCTCCCCCTAATATAATATATGCTTTCTGAGATTGGGACTATTTTATTTTATTTTTTTGTTTTCATTCCAGTATGTGGCATAGTCCCTGACACATATTTGGTGTTTAATAATGCTTGCTAATTAATTAATTAAAGAAGGAACAGGATGCTTAAAATAGTTCAGTTCAATAGAAATTTATTAACAGCCTACTTTGCACAAAGAACTATGCTAGATGCTGAAGCTATCAAGGCAAAAATAAAAGAGTTCCTGTATTTGAGGGGCTTGTGTTGTATTGTGTGAAATAATGGGGAAGAAACTGAACTCTGAGTCAGGAGTGACTAGGTTTAAATCCTGGATTGGACTTGGAGTTCCATGGCTCCTGAATGGGCCTGGATGATCAGGGTCCAGCCAGGGCCAGATAAGTGAGAGAAGCCTACTCATCTCCTCTAAACTGAGCAGATTTGTCTCCTCTTGAAATACTCCTCCTTCCTCTGAAAGGACCTGCAGGTAGTCAGATGCAAAAGACTGCCAAGGCAAGTTCTCTTAAAGGGATAGTATGACAGTGTGCCAGTCCCCAAATCCATCCTTAAGTATGTTCAAGCTGCTTAGCTGTAGGTTGTAGGCTCTTAGAAGCAACAATAAGTAGATCTCCTGGGAAGGTGGTTCTCTTTGCAGAGGCAAAGGGATCTGTGAAGGTGGAACACCTGAGAAGAATGTCCCAGCACCCTACTCCCTTCAACCAAACCTTTACACATTTATCACCATGGACAGCAACATCTTCAAAGCCTATTGGAAACAGAAAAAGCAGGGATGGGGATGCAGAAAGCCATTCTCTTGGGGAACTCAGAGTCCAAGGTATGCAAAGGAACCTAGAGCAGTTGTCCCCCCAAGAGGAAACATAAATAGAATCATAGATTTAGAGCTGGAAGGGACCTAGGAAGAGATCATTTAGACCAATGGTTTTATTTTATAAATACGAGGACAAGGAAATCTAGGCATTAAAAATGAAAGGTATCAATAAAATATATTTTAAAATAGTGGAAAAGAGATAGATAATAGATAAATAGATAGTTAAATGAATAAGTAAGTAAATAAATATGGAGATGTAAAGGACCAGAATGGAGAAGTAATTTTTCCCAAGGTAACAGAGAGAATAAATAGCAGAGTTAGAGAGTATGGGAGCAGTGCTGGGTTGGAATGTCAGGGAATCATGAATTCTAGTCTTTCTTCTGCTAGGTGACCTGAGTAAGTAATTTACCTTCAGGTGTTTTTATTTTTAATTTACAAAATAAGGTGAATTTTGAATCAGAGGCTTTAGGCTAAAAATCCCACTTCTGCCACTTACTTACTATTAGTGTGACCTCAAGTGATAGAGTCTGACTTCCTCTGGGTCCCAGATTCCCCTTTTGGAAAATGAGAAGGTCAGATAAAAACACATCTAAGGTATGTTCCAGTGGTAGCTCTATGATTCTAGGCCTGTAGCTTCTGAGACTCAGAAGCCTATGATCTTGGGGGCATGGAAGGGGAGGAGATTAGCCCTGGCTAGACGAATAAAAGTGAGGCTTTGTATCCCATAGAGCCCAGTTCATAGGGTGCTAGTCTTGGAGTCCTGAAGATTTGTGTTTGAATCTTGCCTCAGACACTGTAGCTATATAACACTGGGTAAGTCACTTAAACTCTCAGGGCCTCAGTTTCTTCACTTGTAAAGCAGAGATAACAATAGTACTTACTTTGAGGAAGAGATAAAATAAGATTTTATATATATATATATATATATATATATATATATATATATATGGATATATTTATAATGTTTTGCAAACCTTAAGATGCTATATAGTGCTGCTGCTGCTGCTGCTGTAAATATCTAGGGTTGTTTGGGGTCATGTACTGAACCAGAAAAAGGGCAAGGCCATTAACAGAGAGTGTGAAAAACCAGGCTCTTGGCTCAGACTGTTGCTGCAAACTACAGTGGAGCTCTGATTAGCAATGTTGACTAATTAATCTTCAAGCCAAAATGGAGTAGTTTCCTCCAGTCACCAGATCAGTGGGAGGGGCACATGCTTTTACTAAACTTTCCGTGGGAGGTAATATTAGAATTCATCAGTTCCCCCTCTTTCGATGTCAAATATCCCTCTTCCAGGAATAGTTACCCCTGCAGACCCTAGAAAAGTCTGCTTTCCATTGATTAGATAATAATACCCCCAACCCCTTTTCTCTCCAGCCTTTTTTTCCATTAAGAAAATTGCAAGGCAATGATGTAGTAATTGAGCAACTGCTGAAAGAGATCTCCTGAAAAAAGATCCAGGGGTCTCCGTGGACTGCAAACTCTATATGTGTCCATTGTGTGCTATGGCAGGCAAGAGAGCTAAGGCAGCCTTGGGCTGCATTGAGACATGTGTTCAGGACCAGAGAGGTGATAGACCTCCTGTAGGCTGCCCTTGTCAGTGCTGAGTTCAGTTGTTTTTCAGTTTTGTCTGACTTTGTGACCCCTTTTGGGGGTTTTCTTGTCAGAGATGCTGTAGAGGTTTGTCATTTCCTTCTCCAGTTCATTTTACATGGAAACTGAGGCAGGCAGGGTTAAGTGACTTGCCCAGAGTCACATAGCTGGTGTCTGAAGTAGAATTTGAATTCATGTCTTCCTTACTCCGAGCCTGGCACTCTATTCACTGCACTAACTAGCTGTCTGGGTATCACATTTTGGGAAATATTTGATAAATTGGAGAGTGTCCAGTATGAAAAGGGGTCTAAAGTTCTTGCTACTTGAGCATTAACTGAAGGAACTGGGGAGGCTTAGACTGCAGAAGAGTTGGGCATATCCTAAATGTTTTCAAGTAAAGAACTGTCATGTGTAAGAGCTATTAGATTGATTCTGCTCCATCCCATAGGAAAGAAGGCAGAGGAATGGGTGGAAATTAAAAGAGGAAAAAATTCAGTTGCATTTAATTCTGTCTTTGTGTTCCTAATATGCAGCATAGTTAGTCATTCAATTAATATTTATTAAGCACCAGGCACTATGCTAAGGGTTGAGGATACAAAAAGAGGCAAAAGACAGTCCCTGCCCCCAAGAAGCTCCCAGTCCAATCTGCATAGTAGGCACTTGTTGACTTAATGCTTATTGACTAATTGAGTGCTTGGTGGATATGAGGAGGGGAAATCCACTTCCTAATTGTTAGAGGTATGTAAAAGTGGGGAAGAAAATACCTCAGTGGCAGGATTGGGAGGGGTGGGTTCCCCCTCACTGCACTGAGGTTGGGTAAACATCCATCAGGTATGTTGTATCAGGGATCCTACTGTAATGATTGGAGTGGATGGCCCCAAGGTCCCTCCCAAGTCAGATCTTGTGTTTTTGTGATGCTATGTGACTGGCCCAGGGTGCTTACAAAAAGATTAGAGGATAAGATCTTGCCTGTGGTAGGAAGATAAAACATATACAAATGAAAACAGCAGCTGATTTAGAGGCAAAATATAAGCAGGGAGGTACGGGTCCCATATGGCAATTGGGTAGTGAAATGGATAAAGCTCAGGCCTGGAGTCAGGAAGACTTATCTTCCTGAGTTCAAATTTGGCCTCCTACACTTACAAGCTGTGTGACCCTGGGCAAGTCACCTAACCCTGTTTGCCTCAGTTTCCTCATCTGTAAAATGAACTGGAGAAGGAAATGGCAAACCACTCCAGTATCTTTGCCAAGAAAATTCCAAATGAGATGCTGAAGAGTTGGACATGATGAAAAACAACTGAATAGGTCCTATCAAAGCGCTTTATAAATAGCAGCCTTTGAGCCTCACCACGAGCTTGGGAGGTGGGTGCTATTATTACCCCTATTTTACAGATGAAGGAATAGGCTCACATAACTATTAAGTGTCTGAAGTAGAATTCTAACTCACATCTTTCTTGAATCCAGGACCCACTACACTCAATAATAATAATGATAACAACAAACATTTATATAGCACTGTGCTAAGCTCTTTACAATTATTATCTCATTTGAATCTCACAACAATCCTGGGAAATAGGTGCTTTTTATTATCTCCATTTTATAGTTGAAGAAACTGAAGCAGACAGAGATTAAGTGACTTGCCCAGGGTCTTATCTAGTAAGGTCTGAGGCCATATTTAAACTCAGGTTTTACTGACTCCAGGACCAGTCCTCTACCCACTGAGCTATCTAATTGCCAAGTAAGAGTGGAC